ATCAGATCCGCCAGCTTCACAATGTGGAACATTACTGTTCCTTTGATTATTTGTTTATTGTTTTTATATAGCTGGCTCAGCCGGCTCGCTATAAACTTTTGCGTTTTGCAAATTAAGTTTGCTAATTAATTTATTTACATATACTGCATACCTAATAGTTAATAACTTTTGCTTACGATTACGTACAATTTCTAAATCACGAAATCACACGCGCGGTCTACGGTATTTTAAAAATTACTCTTGAGAAAACTCAAAACTTGGTCGAAACACCCACATATTCTGGCACAATATAAGCCCGTCATCAACATAGAGCGCTAAATATACTGGAAAATCATTTACTTTCCCTGAAAAAACACACACTTGTAACTTTCACAATGCTTGAAGTTAGACGCTGTTAAGAAACTGCTAAATTTTTCATTCCACCGCGTGGGGATCGCTTTAATCACGAGCGGAGCGAGTTTTTAATAGAGTGAGTTAAAAAGTTTACCGAACGTGTTGCATACTATACTTTTTCTATGACCGTTAGTTTTTGGGTACATTTTCGCAAAACAACACAAATACATTAACTGACATGACCGTCAGAATTGACAAACGTCAAAATTCAAAGCGTGGGAAATATCTCCGAAAACATCCGATCTCTCCCAAATCCGTGCGGTAAAATCCCGGAAATATCCGAAATAGCTCGGATTCGTGGGAAACGAAACTAACGTAGTAAAGTGACGCTTCCCGCACGCTAGATCGGTGGGTAATTAGGTATTTTACAGACGGGAGTAGACAAAGTTTATTGTTGTGCATTTCACGCACGTTAAGTTGCTTACACGTATTTTCGCTCATGCCAAAGCTTTGACTTGGTGGTGATTCACTTTTTCCTAGATTGTGATAATTCCCTTGCCGGTTGCTTTTAGTACTTTGTTATCGACTACTTTAACAAAATACGCTTCTGTTAATGATTCCAGTGTGGTGAAGTTTTTTTCATTAATGCTAGCACCTGAATCATCAGAGGTTAAGGAATATGAAAAGATACGCCGACGTTCTCTCCGATTCGTGGGTATTATTTCTGCTTTTCTTTGGACAGTCGTGAACCCATTGTCCTTTTTCTCTACAATAAGCGCATTTTGTTCTCGTCTTCAGTTCAAGAATCTCCTTTTGCTCTTCTTTGGTGGTCCCATCTCGTCTTTTCAACATGAAAAGCAAGCTGCTAAGTATTTTTTATTGATTAAGCTGCTTTTTCACCAAAGTCCTCAAACCTTTTCTCCCACCCATTTTGCTTAGCATCGACGGATGTATCTCCGCACAATACCGCCACACTTGATTAAATTTGGGTGCAATTTTTTTCTACCCAGCTGAGGAGAATTGCAGTCCCCATCACAACACCGGTGAGGTCTTTTACTTGTAGCAAAAACGTTATCCAAAATTTCCACATATAATACTGCACTGCACTGCACTGCCGACTTGACAGGCAACAAAGACAAAGCGAACCCACTATATTATGCGCCCGACGCAATTTTTTTCTCTGCAAATTATTTTGACAAAACTTTCCACTAAGGCGCAGTGGAAGCGTGCTGGGCCCATAATTTTTCATTTTTTTATTGTTTAGAATAAAAAGATTAAGAAAATCTTAGTGCAGTTTATTAAAATAAAATTAGTGAAAAATATAACACGGTAAAATAAATGCAAATCAACGGAACAACCCAGTTGCTTCGTTGAGAGTTCTCATCAAACTACATAAAAAGTGCATCATAGACCCATGTGGCCGATACTATTCAAAAGTCCCAATAAATCAAAAAAAAAAAAAAGTAACAGTAACCCTGAAATAGCAAAATGTCTAAAAGATACAGATGTTAAACGACTGAAACAACAACTGAAAAAAGGCAGGTATTTTGTTCACCTACATCAGTTTAATTGGATGGTGATTTATTTAATCGCTTTTTGAAGATTTATAAGGTTGTATTTGAATAGCTTAAATTTGTTCTGCGCAAAACACTTTGAACAAATGAACCAATAAAAAATTTATAGAATTGTATTAGTAGGTTTCAAATTTAATACCCAGGCGGATCGGGATCGCTAATCGCGCTGAAAACAACTCCCAAAGTTTGAAAATCCACAAAAGCAAATGTAACATAAAATTGAATATTTATTTTACGTCTCTATTTCACGCCACCCAAATGAGGCAATCGTAGGGGACTTACATCGTCAGTATAACTGCGAAAACTTTCTTGGGAACATTTCCCGAAAATTTATCGTCGGATTTCCAAAACGGATGTATGGAAAAATTTAGCAACATAATTTTTGTCATGTAATTAGATAATAAAAAATGGCGTCGTCCAAATAATAGAGTTTATGCGAAAAATAGGATTTCAAAATATTTTCCTCCACAGTCGGAAATATTAAATTATCTGCTCCGGTGATTATTTTTAATTTACGTTTGATCTATTTAAAGAGCTTTTATAAAACACGCCACAGTTTGAAAATTTGAAAAAAAAAGTTTGGAAGTTTTACAAATAATTGATTGTTAGTTGGCTGACAATTTCGTCGTTCTTCAGCAACGACAAGATACTATTTCCAAGCTCGAATTCTTAGTGTGATCCGTGGCACACAAGATGTACTCGTTGGAATTAGCATGCCGGCTTAACAAACTTTTAAAAATAAACAAAAGGCGATAAAGTTTGCGAGACTAGAAAGTGTTAAATTTTCAAAAATCAAAAATAATTATTATCTTAAAAACTAGGATTTTATAATTTAAGGGCGAAGTTTTCTTACCAAGTATAATCAGTGCAAAACACGATAAACGATCATGACTTTCCCGGTCTACCATAAATGGAAAGCCCTTTACCCTCTATAAACTGTGAAATAAACCAATACAAAACCGATTTGCAAGCGTTTATCAGTACTTTTATATTAGCAGAAATTTAAAGAGCATTTGGGCTTTCCAATGGTGGTGTTACATTCATAATTTGATATGTTTAGACCATGACTTGAAGAAAATTTCTACGATGCATCGGAGGAGAATAACGAATCAAAGAGAAAGTCTCCTTTGGATATGTGGAGCAAGGCAATCGTTTCACGAGTATATGAAGTAAAATTTATAGAAAATTTAACCTTTATTATTGGACATCACTCAAAGTTTACTATAATATTTCTGAAACTTAAACATAGCAAATAAAATAAAAAAATTGTCCCCAGGTCTTCTTAAAACCTCAGTGGGCATTTAGGCTGTCATTATTTTTTGCAGTAGAGTTAACTAGCATTTCGAGTTCAACTTTGAGTCAATTTCTTTATAAAGATTCACTAGAATGCAACGATGTGACAAAGACGCGAAGTGTATGCGATGGCGATGTATGAGAGTAATCAGATTCCGTCACTTGAATCATTGAAACAAAAATTAAAAGACAGTGAAAAGTTTACTGGCAGTGGTGAAACATTGCGCGCAGAAATATGAAACACATATTAATTAGTCCTGATTCGACAAACATGACTAGGGTTGTGAAATTGACCGGTCAAATTTTTAAAAAAGCATGTCAAAATTCTTCATCGAACTGCATTTTGATGTAGCTCGAGGCAAGCTTGGAGGTCAAACGCTTTGATACTTTCAGATAAAAAACATAAAAGACTTTTTAAAAATTGGGTAAAAGTTTCTCTGGTTCTCAGCAGGTAGCGTAATAGTCCATGATAATGCTAGTTATCACAGCACTTTGACTAAAAAGTACCAAAGATCAATAGCAAAAAGGCAGTTATTTCAAAGATACTTATATAAAAACAGCAAATAGTTGAAGTCTTAAGAATCAAATTGTGTTATAATCTGTCAATACACCCCTTAGATTACCACCTTATCACTGCGATGTGAATTCCATAGAACTTTATATGGGCCGAATTAAAAACCAAAGTTTGACGCAATAATATAAACCTAAAAATGTCGCCGATGCACTTAAAAATAATTATAAAAAAACCTGGGACAACGTAAAAATAATTAATGATATTAATGGATGATAGTAATAACGCAGATTCAAACTATTCTGACGTTTAATTGTATTTATTGTTTATATAATCACAATTATACAGTACGCAATACAACAGAACGTATTCATACATTTTGTGTTTCCTTAGTACTCCCCTGGGCAGGTTTGATTTATTGGTCCAGGAGTCCTAGGAGCAGATAAAAGCGTTAACAGCATTATCACAGTCATGACCATTTATCGTGTGCCGGACTATACTTACCACTTGAAGCACAAGTGCAAATTTTAAGTCATCGATGATCAACCAATATAACATAAGCATTTCTTAAAGGTGCCGTGGCAGCCCGAATATTTTTTCGGGGTGCTACACATGTTATTTATTCTCTAAAATTTCTTTTTAATTTGTTTTATTTACTATCAGTATTTTCTTCCTTATTTCATATTTAGGAAAAAGTTGAGTAGACAAGAGATCCCTTTTGTGTTTTAAAATAGCAATAACAATAAAAATTTACTAAGCTGGGCGACATAAAACTGGCAATCGTTGATTTACAAACTCCTAGCAAGCCAAGTAACTTTTTAAAATGGCAGAAATAAGTAAGACTTAGGTACCTATACAAAACTTAGTGCGAAATATAATCTAGAAAGTTAGGAGGAATTAATAAATGCTTTCATATACAGTGTGTTCTTTTCAAAATAACAATGTTATTAGTTGTCCGCGAAAGTCCTGTAAATAATTGAAAAATAAAAAAAACGTTTTGTTGCTAATATTTTGAATTCTAAAACTTTTTCAAATAGGCAACCTTATTAAAATTTGGCGATAGTTTTCATTGCTTTTGGCATTACCTCTTGTAATTGGAAAAGAAAATTAAAATATTCCTAGAAATTATTTCTCGCCGCCCAATATTTTAAAAATGTTATTGAAGTAGGTATTCGCAAGCTTGTAGATGGTAAAAATTCTTAATTTTCCGAAATTTTGACTTTTCCACCGTTTTTCTATTTCGCAAACCCAATTATTTTCCGCGAAACGCTCGAATACTTCCGTCCTACCTTCTTCCTCGGCCAGCGGCGTGCGACGGCTCTATACGAAAACCACCAAACCGTATTTCACCGCCGCGTAGTCTGGATCAAACGTCAAAAAGCGTTCTGTGCGTCAACGCCGACTGGATTGTCGACACTAAACTCAACGAATCTCGAACACCACCGCCTGGAGAGATGATTCCGTGTGGCGCCCTACGCCGGGCGCCTGGACCAACGCGAGAATCGATCTGGATGATAAACAGGGCAGGACTGTGATCTACTAACCTACCTCGCCGCCGAACTTGATCTAGTCATTATCGTATCCGGTTTCGTGAGACTAATCGTGTTTTCTACCGAGAAAATACGCTTATCGTTTCCGAAATGACGGTCGATATATATATCGTCTGAGTTTATAGTTTTAACTCTTTGCTGAAATGAGAAGCACGAACTTTAAAATTTGGTTACGAAGACTAAAAGTACAGTCTCTGTTTCGGAATCCTTCAAATTTATTTAGTTGCGGTTAACCGACTATGCAATAATAGATCCTGCCTCCTCCATCTCTCTGATGTAACTCTTTTTTTCCAGTAAACTTATCCCAAAATCATTTTACTAATAAGGTATATTCCGCATATAAAGCGTAGGTACGAGCTAAGTGTTTATTGAATCACTGTTGACTGTTTCCTTTTTATATTTCATGTACATTTTTTGGACTGAGGTGGCTTTTACTTGATGAAAATCCATTTAACACAATTAAATTAGAACAAAAAATGTTCAGATTTTCACAATTTTTAATGATTTATGACAGCTGTTTCGGCAACACCGTTTCTTTATTAAATACACAAATTCACGTATTTTCAAGCATTTTTTGTTCTAATTTAATTGTGCATTTTTCTTCTGGTTCTGACTATTCTAACGTATTTGGATCGACAATTCTGTGTAAATCTTTTTTAAATTGTTTTTCGGCCTTCTTTTTGTGTTTAACTATAACATTCTTGTCTTGTCTTTTAGGTGTATTATGCGTTACATTACTGCATCTTCTTAAATGGTTAGATATCCGAAATAAATGTTTCAGTAAAAATAGAATAACGTTGACATATTTTGCAAAACAATAATAAAAATAGCACATTATTCTACAAATTTGATAAATGCCATTTTTAGTCAAGAGTTTGTTTTGGCAAGAACGGAGATGACTGGAGCAAATACTTAATAAATAATCGTTTATTGACCACTTATAAATACAAAAACTTATTAACTTATTTATTTATTTATTACTTATTAACTCTAAGAATAATTAATTTATGAAATAACTTAGGTCTACTGTGCCTGATGAGTAACAAATTCGTTCATGGAATAGAAACAATGCTCTTTAAAAAACTTTATTGACAGTTGTTTGAATTTTTTAATCGAAAGTCGTTTAACATCAATGTTTTTGGACCGAAAAAGAGTGTTTGCAAAAGTATTATACAAATCTAGATTAAGTTTATTTTTTTGTGTAGTACACAACCTCGATCTTAATGTTAAGATAATGTCAGCTGTTCGCGTCATGTAGCTGTGTTATCCGGCATGAGTCGGAAAAACAAATTTGAGTGGATTTCAACTAAAGTTTGGAGAATAAACATACATCGTAACGTAAGTATTTTCAATTCTTTGAATATTTTGTCTGCAATGGCTGGACGGCAGAGCATCCCCAAGAACCCGAACCGCAGACTTCTGCAATCTAAAGGCGCTCTCGGCCTCCGTCGCGTTCCCCCCCCAATAGTAGTCCATATGATAAGACACTATGAAATAGTGCAAAATAAACTATACGGAGAGTGCTTTGCGAGATGGAACCTCGCAGTTGTCTCAGAACAAAAACCTGAGAAGACAATTTACCGCACAGGTAGTCTGCATGAGGCGACCAGGTTAAAGACGCATCTAGGTAAACAACAAGAAGTTTGACCGGTTCAGATTTTTTACTTCTTCTATTGGTATTGAAAATTAGAGTATTCGTTTTATCGGAATTTAATTCAAGTTTATTTGCAAAGAACCACTGCTCAATCAAGGAGAGTGTGGTGACAGCCTTTTGATTTAAATTAGTTTGATCTTTTCCCGATTCAATCAATGATGTGTCATCCGCATAGAGTATACTGCAAGCAGCATTTGTTGCAAATAGTACATCATTTATGTATATTATAAACAAAGGCGGACCAAGGATGGAACCCTGAGGCACTCCATTAGTAATGTCCAACAGAGTGGATTCCCGATCATTCTAGACAACATATTGCTTTCTTCCCGTCAAATAAGATTTTAAAAGAACTAGGATATTTTCACGAATTCCGTAGTACTCAAATTTAGAAAGAAGTATATTAGTATCCACGCAGTCTAATGCCTTGCTCAGGTCGCACATCGTTACCGAAGTCAACAGGCCCTCCTCAAACCCATCAACCACATGCTCAATCATAAGGCACGGATGGTGGACCTACCTGACCGAAAACCAAATTGGGAATCTGTTAATATTTTCCTTCCCTCAAAGTAAGCGATAAGTTTATCTTTTATTATCGACTCAAAAATTTTTCGAATGATAGGAACGATTGCTATTGCTATCCCCTTTTTTATGAAGTGGAAGAATTTTTGTCACTTTTAATTCATCCGGAAAACATCCCTCTTCAATGCTATTGTTTATTAGTAACGTAATAGGTTTCAGAAGTGAAGATATTGATTGTTTAATAATAGTGGCATTTAGACCATAATAGTCAAGACAATGAGAGTTTTTTAGTTTTAAAATCGCTTCCCTAACATCACTCTCCACAACTGCTGACATATAAAACAAGAAATTGGGTCTAATTGATCTGGAGATGTAGGTCATAGCATCTACTACTGAAGCTTTGATGGTTTTCGTTATCTCCGCTGACACAGAAGCAAAATATCTGTTAAACTCCAACCGAGCAATTGACCGTCTCTCCGAATTAACAATATTCCATGTCGTTTTAGATTTTTCATTTGAACTCAAAATTATGTCATCATAAGTTTTCTTTTTCTCCACCTTTATAGTGTAACGATATTCTTTGTGTAAGCATGAAAGTCTTGGTTACTTTTTGAACTAACGTAATTTTTTTTAAACGAGTGAATGAAGATAGTTATAAAAGCTTTGTATACTACACTGTTTGTACGACCATATAGCTATTAGATTATATAGCGGCTTTATACACAAAACACTCGTCTCCGATTTAGAGTTCCAAAATGTAATTGGTTACTGTTAAACTATCCTTCAACAATCGATCCTACCTCATTTAATGTAAGTCGGTTTTTGTAGTAAATTTTTACAAAATGGCAACGAGGAATGGTACCGTTCTTGTCATTTTACGAATCTCTTTTACTTTTTGCAAAACTTCTGGATTCCTCCTGCTTCAGTTCTTGCTGAGTCGAAATTGCTGACGTTTCGCCAATCATCCTGTTGGCTTCTTCAGAGCTTGACTGAAACTGACTCGTATTTTACTGTGCACTTGCTTATATATTGTTTGAGTGGGGCGGAGCTAAATGAGGTGCATAAACACCGTCTCGGATGACTTATTCCCATATTGGTGACAGGTAGAGACCTGAATCGCAGTTTAGATTGTTAGGTTGTTAATCGCGACTCGGGTCTCTACATGTCACCAATATGGGAATAAGTCATCTGAGGCGGTGTTTATGTCCCTCATTTAGCTCCGCCCCCCTCAAACAATATATAAGCAGGTACACAGTAAAATAAGAGCCAGTTTCAGTCAAGCTCTCAAGCTCTGAAGAAGCTAACAGGATGATTGCCGAAACGTCAGCAAGTTCGACTCAGCAAAAACCGATGCAGGAGGAATCCAGAAGTTTTGTAAGATTTTTTTACAGTAGCGACGTGTGAGTACATCATAATTGCCAAATATCAAATTATCATTTTTCTAGAGTAAAGAACATACAATATACAAGTATAGATATTATATTTGCACACTTGGTTCTGGTTCCTTTTAGCTAGTTTTGGTTAGTTTTTTGCTGTACATTTAATGCGCTGAATAAAACGAGGGACTGACTGCATAAGATTAGAAAATGGATTACCTATACCTAATTATGCTCACAGGTTTGAGGGTGATCTGTTGTTGTCGGTAGATTTTAGCCATGGTATTTTAACGTTTGTCAGTTTTGAGAGTCACGTCACACCTCAAAAATGTACCGAAAAACGAGTGGTTGGCAGGTTAGTGGTTGAGTAGATTTAAAATTTCGCTTAGAAAGAAAATGACTCAAAGTAATCTGCACTTGGTGAAATGTAAAGGCATGCTTGGACGATCATTCCCATCTGTACCAAAATACCACAGCCACCTGAGACTCATCAATATTATATTATAATAATAATTATATTATAATCTGTCACCAATAGGGGAATAAGTCATCCGAGACGGTGTTTATGCACCTCATTTAGCTCCGTCCCACTCATACAATATATAAGCAAGTGCAGAGTAAAATACGAGTCAGTTTCAGTCAAGCTCTGAAGAAGCCAACAGGATGATTGGCGAAACGTCAGCAATTTCGACTCAGCAAGAACTGAAGCAAGAGGAATCCAGAAGTTTTGCAAAAAGTAAAAGAGATTCGTAAAATGACAAGAACGGTACCATTCCTCGTCGCCATTTTGTAAAAATTTACTGCAAAAACAGAGCTGCATTAAAGGAGGTAGGATCGATTGTTGAAGTATAGTTTAACAGTAACCAATTACATTTTGGAACTCTAAATCGGAGACGAGTGTTTTATACACAAAACAAAGATTTAAAATTTTCCCATGCATAGCGGTTCGTGTAACTAACAACAAATGTTTCTTGAATACCTATAGTATTCAACACGATAAACTTCTTCAATATCTCTGGCGTGTATCAAAGTTACATAATATACTAATAATCTCCAATCTGCCAATAAAAGTTTACGATCAAATCTCATTTTAGCGATTTTACACATTTTAGGCAGTTTATTTTAGCACGGCAACAAAAATTTAAATTATCTGCTAAATTCTTGTCTTATTATCGACGAATCATTGCGCCACCTAGGAATGCCGGAAAAGAAGTATTACTTAGTTGTCTGTAAAATTAATTAAAACGAGAACTTCAGTTGGATAAGGATCCGTCATAGGGCGCCACATACAACTGTCAGTTTACTTGCTCCTCGTTTGCCAATGGTTATTGTTCTGTGAATAAATAGCTTAATCCGTGTTTACAAAATTCATTTTTGTGTTTGATTGATTTTTGTTTTTGGAAAAACTTAAATGAATCAAAAAAATAAGATTGCTCATCTCAGAAAGTGCGAATATACCAAAACATGTGAACTTAGGTTTGATATGTTAATAAGAGCAAATGGTACCGAAGAGATCATGGGGATAAAAAGTCAAGTCAAGTCAACAGATACCGTATCCTCCCTTATTGCCGAAATCTCAAATAGAGTTAATGAAGCCATAGGACCTAATTCTAGTAATCCAATAGATGCAGTTTTAAAAGTCAACGGAAAAACTGTAAATAATACCACTGTATTGATGGATTTTGTAAAGAATGTGACAACCAATTCTTTAACGGTTACCCTCAGTATTTTCCAGCATGAATATTCTGTACTTATTAATTTTCCCTGCGTTAAACAAATGAGATTACCTTCCGTTATTTATGTTGGGTATCCCACACAGCTTGTCAAATTAACCTTTTTCAATGCTTCGAAGAAGACTTCTAAATTCATTTGGTACAAGTCCTTAGAACAGCAAAAATGGGTGAAAGTAGGTGAAGGCTATGAGTATGTTCCTACAGTGAATGATGGAAATCATTTCTTAAAAGTGATTTGTGTCCCATTTAGCGAGTTTAAAGTTAAAGGTAGTCCATTTGAAGTAATTTCTGAACATAAAGTCATAGAATTGACTGAGTTTCCTAGGTGTCCATTTGAGGTCAGACATCAATACACTAAGCAAAAGTTAAAGAAAAATGAGTAAGTTGTATTTAGATGTTACAATGGAATGTATTTTTGAAGTACTGATTTGGGATACAAAATACAATTAATTTTTTTTGTTTTAGATTGCGAATAGTCACCTATAATATCTTAGCAGACAAATATGTTGACAATATTCGCTATTCATATTGCTCACCCCAAGCTTTAGGCATTCACTATAGGAAGCAATTGATTCTAAAGGAAGTGAAAGGTTTTTAAACTTCTATCTACCTGAGATTGTAAAAGTGTAGTTTGATTTTTTGTTAGGTTACAATGCAGATATAATTTGTATGCAGGAAGTAGATGAACTCCACTTCAAATCCTTTTTCAAAGAAAAGATGCAGGAACTAGGTTACAAAGCAGTGTTTCACAGAAAAGGGAACAATCTTCCTGAAGGTCTGGCCTGTTTTTTTGATTCACTTCGGTTTAAGTAAGGAGTTGCTGTACCTGCGCTGTACAATACCAATATCAAGTTTTTCAGGTTACTATCATTTAAACAAGTTGTTTTGCGGTGTGAAGTGGAACGTAGAAAACAATTTAGTGAAATAGCACATTTATTAAATCAAAATCAGGCTCTTAAACATGAATTTATGAAACAAAATACATCACTGCAGGTTATCGTTTTAAGAAATAATGACTCTAATAATATAGTAATTGTTGGAAACACTCATTTATTTTATCATCCAGATGCCAACCATATAAGACTGTTGCAAATGTTTATGGAAACCAAATTTTTGTACTCTATGAAAGCAAGATATTTGAGGGTAAACTTTACATAACTATGGTGGCTTAGTTGCTTTTGTATTTTATGAATTGCAGGAAAATCCAAAGAGCAATGTAGTTGTGTTATTTTGTGGCGATTTTAATAGTGACCCTGACAAATCACTATATCCAGCCATTATAAATGGAACTATTGATCCCATGCATCCTAATTGTTTGCAAAGTAAGTTAGATCCCAATTTTTTAAGTACTGATTTGAATTTATGCCTGTTTCAGTATCAGAAAGTGGAGGCGCCAGGATTTACCATAAATTTTTCTTCCAGAGTGCATGTGGAACACCAAAGTACACTAATTTTACTCCTACATATAAGGGTTGTTTGGATTATATTTTTGTGGAAAAAAATTCAGTTACAGTGAAACAAGTTGTACCAGTCCCTGATGAAAATGAACTCAATAGGTATGAAGGTTTGCCGAACGACTATTACCCTTCAGATCATGTGCCGCTTATCGCGGACTTGGTAATAGCACCCAAGCTCAAAAAGTTTACTAACTAGTAAATTAATTTCATAATCCACATTACCATTTCAGAACAAGAGCATGTATTCATGTCAAATTTTTATGTGCTGTGACGTCTGTGCCTTTTGTGCAAGATTATTTTTAGGTAATTTTCTTGACTGTTGAAAACTTATCTACATTTTTACCATATCTTGATTATTATTGATTATAATTAATTATTAAAAGTTGTTTTAATCAATAATAACCCACAAAACACCTAAAATTGATGCAGATGGAGCAATTTTGGCACATCATTTGACAAATTTGAATAAAATTTTCCCTGTAAAACAAACCTTTTAAGACTTTTTGTCATATTAGTGTAGTAGGATGTGGAAAAATATTTGTAGGGTCATAATTGAGCCTGTGAAAATAAAAGTTTTGTATGTTTACTGATTTTTTAAAAGTAAATTATAAATTTTACACAACCGTTACATGGTGTTACATGTATAATTATAAATTTATTTAAAAATTATCAGACAACCTTAGACAACTTTGCTTTTCACTGACTCTATTGAAAATAGTGTTTTAAAGAAGTTGAATAGCTTATTACAATATACAATTTAATTCAAAAACATTTTTAAAATGTACAATGATGGTACCTGGCCTAACCAAAGATTAAGTATTTTTACTATTTGAGCTATCTATATAACAAAAATATATAAGACGCTGAGAACATGACGAAATCTTTCCCGAGACACGCCTGATTATCACATAAATTGTTTCCATGAAAAACTATATAATCTACACTTTGCAGTAAATTGATAAACACCTTTTCATTCCACTTGATTCAAAAACTTGCTCAAGTGAGGCAAGTTATAAAGATGTTACAAAAAGTAACTAGCCAATCAACATATCAACAAACACTTGGACCCACAAAAAGACAGATTTTTAAATTGTACTTTTATTTTTACAATTAAATTAAATCAAAAAGAAATTGTAGGTCAAAATAATTGGCAGGATTTTTTTTAGTAGCAATTTTTTTCTCATTTTTTGATCTGACACTTGCTCCAAAAAAATTATTGAATTGAATTTTGTACAATCGCATTGTGTGAATCAAATTACATATGCAAGGAGGTTTCTTTCACAAAGTTCTAGCAAACACTCAAAAATTTGGAGAGGAACAAGAAAAAATCTGTTTTTCCTTCGGGTCCGCCCTTATATTTTGTAAGTATACAAAAATGAGAATGTCACTCAAAAAAGAACATATAAATGCATCTCTCGTCTTAACCGAATGTACCACAAAACTGAACCCACATAAGAACTGCTGGATTCCCTTCGTAGGTACTTTAAAATCATGCTAGATTAGGACACTTGCGCCTACTAATTTTTAACTCGTTTTTTCGCCTGTCTTAGATTCGGAATCTTTCGAGTCTCTGGGATATTCAATTGCTTTCCTCTCTTTATATTCAATAGCTTTAGGTACAACAGGTATGAAAGAGTCCTCTTTGGGAGAGTGGTAAATGCTTTTTGCCTCCTTTCTCTCTTGCTCAGATTGCCACTCCACCTGTGGGGAAAATTTTTATAAAATTGCCAATAAACAAAACCTATTTCCCACATTACCTTTTGCCGATGCTGCCTAATGTGATCTTCAACTATATCCAATACCATTTTTTCCGTTAGCACTCCGTCCTGCGACGCGTAAGCGGCCGCTTGCCAAGCTACTCCCAGTTTTGCTATCTCTCTGCCAGACATACCATCCGTCATCTGAGCCATTTTACTGCACAGTGCACTATAGTCGAAGTTATCCACTTTCAGCCTCCTGAAAATATTGCTTAGAGTTGGGTCCCTCTGGAATTCATCAATTGAACCTTTTCCCTTCTGTGGCGGGTTCCAAAACAAATTTTTGAAAGTACATTCTGATCAACCTCTCCCTTTCGTCCAAACCAGGTAAGCTGAACTCGACCATCTCATCTAACCTGTCGTTGACCGCCCAATCAAATTGCTCAGGTGTATTAGAAGCGAGCACCAACATAAACTTGTTACTTTGCTCCCCGGTTCGGTAAAGGAATGCATTGAGGGTCGCTCGCAAATCTTCAGAAATGTTTTCGGAAGATCTTTTACGCAGAAAAGCGTCGGCCTCATCTATGAAGAGCAACAGCCCTTTTCGGGTGCTGTTGGCCCAGTCGAACACCTTGTGAATGGCCGTGACTCCCTCCTTTCCCATGGGTGCTATATCTCCACCCGTTAAAATTGCGTAATCCATGCCGGAATGTTTTGCTAATTTCTGAAGAAACATGTATTATTTTATTTCAAATTAAATGCACCTTATTTATATACCTTGGTGAACATAGTTTTTCCAGTACCAGGGGGCCCATGCATAAGTATATTTCTATACATTCCTTTGTTTTGTTTGGTATTTTTTGTTGCTATCGCAACATCTCGCAAGCGTTGTTCCAAATTTGGTTCTAAAACTATTCCCGATAACGCATCTTGTTCCTTATTTCTTAACTTTTTCAAAGTCTCTATAGGGTGCCTCACAGACTCTAACAATGAAAACCGTGAGGTTTCTCTAACAAGAGATGGTTTACCTAAAATTGTTGACGATAATTTTTGTAAATGGTTGAAACAATATAACTTGAGATACCTAGTCTTGATTCAATATATCTGGCAGTGACAGAAGTGGCCCCCTTTGCCGAGTAAACACCCAGTGCTACTAAAGATAATCCACCAGCAGCAACAAGCACTTTGTTCCAATCTGTAAGCAAAGCTTGGGCTCCCGTCCCTATTACTGAACCAGCCGTCCTTTAAAAATCATTAAATTCATAATATAAACAGTGTTTAATAACAAATCATTTATCACTTACTTGATACTCTCTAATACAGTTACTCTATTTTCTTGAGCTTTAATTCTGATTTGCTCCAATGTTAGATCACGGTTTTCCCTATCAACCTTTGCTTTGGCTTTTAGTTCTGCTTCCACTCTTTTCATTTCATTTTTGTGCCTTAAATCCATCTCATGTTCTATTGTTGCTTTCCTCATTGCCTCTTGTTTAGCAACTGATTCTTCTTGTCTACAACATATTAACTTAACTTCAAAGATCTCTTCACAATTTTGCACCTTTACTTATTCAAAAAAATCCAAATACTTGCTGACTTACCTTCTCAAGTTTTCTTCATTCATTCTTTGTTGCTGTGCAAGTTGATCATCATAACGTTTCCGAGCAAGCTGATCCTGATACTGTGCTCTAGCTTGATGTTGTCGCGTTTCTTCCTGCAATGACTTTCGCTTCTCCTCTCCTTCTGTTCTTTTCGCATCAATTTGCATTTGTGCAATATGTGCTTCATACTCTTTGATTTTAGCTTGCTGTTCCACTTGTCTAGTTGACTCTTGCAACTTGGACAGTTCAAGAGCTTCTTTGGCGTGTTCTAAACATAAGTTTAATAGATTCTGTAATAATCTCTGTTATATAACCTAAAAAATAGCCACCCTACTTACTCGACTTTTCCAATTCTCTAGCTGCTTGAGCAGCTCTTTCTAACGCTGTAGAATCGAATCGATAGGCTTCCATTTGCCTCCTTTCTGCTTTAGATAGGGCAGGTTCTTTAGGGGTTCCATCATCTGAACCGCCGGCACCCCCAGGTACACCAAGGCCCATTTGGCTCAAATCCGGAACCTGGTCCTTGTTTTTTCCATAACCAAATATCCAAGACATATTAAACCTGCTTTTCTATTTCGCTTTTCGGTATAAAACCCTTTCCAATCGTTTAGAGCTCTCCACAAAATTAAAGGTTAACAGCACGCGTTTTTTGACGGTTTTATTATCTTCTTTATCTAAACTTGGTGTGATGTACATCTAATTGAGCATTTTGCAAATATTTAAATTTTATAATCTACATAATTCATATTGTATGTAAGTAAAAAAAAGCATTTTAGGATAGTTTAAATACATTATATTTGCAGTAACATTTTTAGATTTCATCTTTACAAAATTGGCCATTAAATCTAATAGGAAGGAAAAAATTGTGCGAACATAACCTCACACATTGAAGAAAGATCGTGATGGTCGTCGGGCAATAATTCATTTTGAAATGTTGAACTGTATCCCCGCGCAGGAATCATACGCTGAAAGACCATTTGAAGGGTTTGAAATAAACGATACTTCCTTTCTCTATAATTTGACAGGTCGACAACCTTGTCCGAATTGTGGAAAATCCAGGAAGATATTCTGTTACACTTGCTTTGTACCAATTAGGGAAGTTGATGGCAAACTACCGAAAGTCAAGGTATAAGGGCCTTATATTAATTTATTAGAATTTCTTTTTTTATTTCTTTATTTTAGTTGCCCTTAAAAATCGACATAATCAAGCACAAACATGAAATTGATGGCAAAAGTACTGCCAGTCACGCAGCATTATTGGCCCACGATGATGTTAAGATTTATACATATCCAGACATTCCAAATTATGAAAAAGAGAATGTGGTGCTAATATTTCCCGGTCAAGGTGCTGTTAGTGTTAACCAATTGGTTAGAGAAACGACATATGAGAATTTAATTAAATATCAAAAAAGCCATTGTGGTAACATTCCGAAAGGTCATAATCAAACCACTTTGTTAAAAACCATTTCTTCTCATTCAAGAAATGAATCTAGAAGTAAAGTAGCTAAACTTTCTGTATCAAAAGCAATATTTATAGATAGCACATGGCACCAGTGCAAAAGCATATATAAAGATGAAAGATTGAGAGTTATTCCATGTGTGGTGATTGAAAATCGCATATCTCAGTTTTGGAGGCACCAGAAAGGCAGCCCTAGATGGTATCTCGCGACAATTGAAGCAATTCATCAATTTGTCTTGGAAATTCATTTGCATTGTTGGGGTTTAAACCCAAATTATAAGGGAATTAAAAATTGTTTTACTGAAAATGACTTGGGGCACATACAAAGTTTCTACACTGCTAATCCTAAAGGTTATTGTGGGCAGTATGATAACTTATTGTATTTTTTTAAGTATATGTATGATACCATACATAAGTATTACAGACATGAAGATTTATACTCTTATAAAAGAAGACTAACATAAGATTATCATTTAATATAAAGAAATACTTTTTATTTACGTAAATTATTGAATTATTATTTTATATTTGCATTTAATAAAGCTGGTTCCATAAATATTCATTCATTTTTTCATAGTATTGTAGTTTTATTTTTTGGCATAGTTAGATTTAATAGGAAAAAGTACAGTCAGTGACTTTCTGGCTTGCGGCGCGAAAATTATTGGGACCTCAATTGTTTCATACAGTTTGGAAGGAATATAAATCTATCTAGTTTATGAAAACAGTGGAAGCTTCTCATTTCAGGATAAATTAACGTGATTTCATAGCCGTTCCTCGGTTCCTAATGGTGTGTTAAAAACTTTAGAACTTGCATTGTAGTATTGAATTTTTATATTTCTTTAATTGCGCCATCTAACGTGCGCCTTTTGAAATATCTGTTACATGTTCTTAATTTTACGGTGTAACGCCAGTAAAAGTTGGCATTTATTTAAAAGAAAGAGCGTTAGGGATGGTTAGTAGCGCGATTTTGTAAAGAAATAGTAGTGGATCTTGGGCAAGAGAACGGGAATACTAACATCACTCCTAAAACACATACCACATCACTTTTTTTTGTAAATGGATGTTAAAAAGCTGATCTTCCAAGAATCGGGAATAATTCTGGAAAATAATGAGCGATTAAATATCTACTGCCATGGTTTGGTCAAAGCAAAATCAGGTCCTTGAGAAAATTAATTCTGGTGGGTTCATAATACCACCAAAAACATAATTCAGTGAAATTTGTATAGAATTAATGTAATTAAAATTATAATGATAGTAGTGATAAACTACGATTCTGCATTTATTTGCAATGATATTTATTTGTTATTTGACCCACGTTACTAAAGCAAATGTAGGTAGTAAAAATTTAAAAAGGGATTCTTGCCTCTTTTGATATCTTTATCACTTTGTTTTTTCTTTACCTCTAAATGATTTGTTGGACGTGTCATATGGTCTAAAACAACAACATACAAGTTCATTCTTACAAATTCGTACATCAGGAAATACATATCATAAAACCAACCGATATTTTAACTTATTTACAACATGGATTTTGTCTTTAGTAAACTCGTCAATGCAACAATTTTAAAATCCATCATTAAATCTTACAAGAGTTGAGATTAATTTAAAACAGATTCATCATTTTTAAACCCCGCATATCGACCCCAGACGGGAAAAAATGTATGGCCCATCGACCTTGAATTACTAAACAAAAATAGCGCAATGATATTTTTCAAGCGAATAATGCTCCGAATTGGTTTTAAAAACCTCGGCGACATGGAAAGCTCGGGCACCCTCGCATCGTTATCTTTTTTCGTCGCTTGTCTGTTGCACAACGCATATTATTATAATATCGACTTTTCCGTTTTATTGCGTCTTGGTAAAATTTCGTAATTCTGGAACACGCCGCGCTTATAAAACCTCTCGTTATGATGTTACCAAATCTGATATCTTATGCAGTTCGTGAAGCACATCGCAATTGTGTAATTATGTTAACTATTTTGACACGGACCCTCCCTATGCCATTTACACGAAAACATATTTGATTGGTCCGTTACCAAACTGTCATACATCGAATAATATGCCCGACAGCGGTGTTTTTCAAAGAGCTTATTTAAATTTTTGCTCAAACATCTTGCTTTTATGCTTCAGAAGACCAAATTAAAAATCAGGAATTAAACAATTTAAATTGTTTTCAAAACTGTTACCTAATATATACCAAGAACAACAGTATAATGAATTATATAGCATTTAGCAAACCCAAATCGACCCATAGAACAGTTGAACTTCTTGCCTTTGTTGTCGCTTTACGCAAATGTTGCGTGAGTTACCATGGGAATACAACGATATCGTTCTTAGCAAGACCTCTACCACTACAGCTGTAGCTTAGGTTTAGCTGTGGTAGAACTAATTTTAAATTGAACCGAGCATGCACATTAGCAAATTAATGCTTCAACAAAAATTATTTCGAGTTCAAAACGGTTCAGAACTCATAGTTTGCTATTAGAACAGTGTTGATGATTGTTTTCGCAGAGTTCTAGAAGCGTGAAAAGTATTCTTTTGGAATTTTAAGTTGGCGTATCCACCAAAATACATGTCAAACAAGGGTGCCTCTGGTCTCTGTCAAGTACTGCTAAGATCTCTTAAATTCTTACATAATTTTATTATTTGGAGTCTTATAATTTTGGTAACTCGGGAAGTATTCTTTGTAAAATGTGTTTACGTGGTTTGCTGAAGTTTATATTATATTTTCAGCTTTGTCATTCTGTGATCATGCTTTGTAAATTATAAAAATACCGAAATATAAGAAATACGTACACGTTTACAAAAGGTTAGCTCATTCGGCTCTTCTACTTTTTAGGTAAAACACATTAAATTCTGGCATAATTTTGAACTAGTATACCCAGCATACCCAATCCTAAATTAATTGAAGAACGGTTAGGGACTCTAGGTTGAAACAAACCTAACGACCAAACTTTTTGAGGCATGGTTAAACAACTAAAGGTCCCCACAAACGTCGTTCTTTTTTAGCAATTTTACCCGCACGGTTAAAACGGTGCGGATAAGTTGGTCCGTTTTAAACGCGTTCGTTCAAGTCTGTCAGTATGTGGTAGGAAAACAGTTAAGAAGGACAGTTTTTATAAGTGTCACAGCAATAATTAGGATTAGTTTTAAGTAGTGATTTTAAAATTGTATTGTTGAATAAAAATATATTGCTGTAGTTTTTACAGTGACTGACCTAAGAAAACAACAAGCAATTTATATTTGAGTTCATAGAACTGTATAGAAGCTATCCGTGCCTCTGGAAGGTTAAATCTAGGGAGTATTCTGATAGAGATAAAAAAAATAAAGCTTACGAAGATATGATAAAAAAGTCACAAGAAGTAGATAACTCGGCAACAAGAGATTCCGTGAAAAAGAGAATTGACTCTTTAGGTGTCTTCTTCCGTAAGGAATTGAAAAAAGTCATTTTAAAGATACTTAAAAATTACAGTTCTTTTTACTAATATATATATATTTTTTCATGATAAATATGCGATTACAAATTTATTTTAAGATGATTTAGACAAAGTTTTGTTGCCAGGGTACTGATCCCTCATTATGAAAGTAAGTCATAAATAAATTACGCACTCTTTTTGCTTCTTCAGATGCATGTCTGTTGTGTCCACGTTGTAAATTATCAAATGCTTGTTCCGCATTTAAACCACTTTCAATGAGTCCCGTGTTGTGATCTGAATAAAAACAAGTTCAGGGCGCGTAATTTTCATGGCGCTTCCTAATCAATTAAAAACGATTTTATCAATATTTTCTATTTTTAAATTAATTGCAGCGTGGAAGATTCTGAATCTGGCCACCGTTATTCCAAATGGATTTTCTATTACCCGGCGTGCTCTGTATAGACTATAATTGAATATTTTTTTTTTCTGATTGTTCTGTTTGTGATTCTGATTTCTGATTCTTTTTTTGGCTGAATGGTTTTAAAAAATTATTTCTTAGTGAGAAAGCAGCATCTCCAATGAAGACGTAGGGCAATGTTTCATTATTATTATTTGTTTTACAGGGATTTGGTAATTTAAGAGATCCACTTATAAGCTTTTCATAGAATAGAGTGTTTTCTATAACGCCACCATCAGATACTCTTCCGTTTGTGCCACAATCGCACATAATGAATTCATAATTCGCATTGGCGATCGCCATTAATACGATACTGTGTCTGCCTTTATAATTTCAATAAAAAGAACCGCTGTTAGCCATCTACGGCTCCCAAGCAATGAAGAAAGTTCCACTTTTGTTAGTATGTTTGGGCTATGGTTTGCCAATCCTCTTCGGTACTGGGAAACTGAAATAAAAAGCCTAATCAATATACTCTTTTAGTGATTCAAAGTAAGGTATTTTAACATAATGCTTTTCCCTTCTAGGATGGATCTAACTACACTCCCATGCAATCCCCGACATCTCCTTTTGAAGTTGATGTTGCAGATCGATCGCAGTCGGTATCTTCCAATACTCCTTCAGCACCGAGCTCAGTAAGGTCTTCCAATAGCATAAAAAGCGCCGCTTTAAGGAGAGAGCTGACGAACTTTTGGAAAAAGTAAATGCAAAACTCGATATTCATGAGCAAGAAGACAGGTTTACTGTGGTAGGAAAAAATGTTTCCAATAAATTACGAGATTTACCTCCTGATGCTGCTTGGCGGAAAAATTTATATCCGATATTCTATTTGAAGCTGCACTGGGAAACATTTCAAGACATACCAAAATGTCGCTAACAGAAAAAATGTCAGGAAATAGGTTATCACAAGAGTTTGCTACAAATTCTATTAACGTAAACTACCATAATCAGCGGCATGATAGTTCAAGCTCCCATCAAACTGATTTGGATTACGGAGGAAACTACCAAGCTACATCTCAGATACTACTATCCTCAAATGATGCAAGATCCTTTTTGGAAAATTTTTCACCTGTGTATAATAATTAGTTATACAGGATGTATGTAAATATCTTTAAAAAGTTCTATTTTTTTGTTGTGTTTTTAGAAATGTATTCTTAGTTGGATACTTTTATCGCTCTTTTAAAGAATAAATAATATTTTCTTACCTTTAAGTAATGTTTTAAAACAGGATATATGGCACTGCACGTTTCTAGTATAATTCGCCCAAGAGCCTGAAGAAATCTTAGTGTAGTGTAGTGTAGTTCATGTGGTGAAATACTTCGTCTCCTTACGGTATCTTGTTTTTTTATCAGAGAGCAATTCCAAATACGTTTCTTCGTCCATCGGCAGGTAATTAAACCAATCTCCCGGTTCTAGTCGTAATTCGTTCAAAAGATTAACATGTGAAAATTGTTTTCACTTGAGTAACCATTCTTTAACCCATTTGGAACGTTGTTTTTTAGAATATTTTATTTTAATAGCAACTCCCGCCGCCACTGCTAACGTCGTCGTAAAATCCATCACCAATGATTTTTGCCCGCAATTTCAAACAAACTGAACGAAACATACAAAACAACGCGTATGTGTGGGGGGAAGTCGTTGTTCGTGTGTAACCGTGCTGTTTTACCCGTGCGGGTAAAATTGCTAAAAAAGATCGACGTCTGTGGGGGCCCTAATAATTAGTAACTTACATACACGTATAGTCGTCCAATTTAAACATTGAAAAAAGCATATTACTGTGAATGATATGCAATATGCAAGAATCATACACAAAAAGAAACCTTTTTTGTACTACTTTCACAGTACTATTGCATTTTTAATCGAGCTGTGGAATATGTAAAAGCAAATGGTACTTAAATATATTGTTCTACTTTGTCGGTTGTATTGAGCTCGACTGCCTGCTTAACACAAACGT